AAGATCTTCTATCCGCTAGGTTACTCTGCTGATGGCTTGCAGCAGCCAGGGCTGGGCCAGGCCAAAGCCAGGAGCCAGGAGCTTCTTCCAGGTCCTCCATGTGAGTGTCAGGGCCCCAAAGACCTGGGCCATCTTCTGGTGCTTTTCCCAGGCCATTAGCAGGGAGCTGGATCAGAAGTGGAGCAGCCGGGACATGGACCAGTGCCCATATGGGATGCCTGTTTTGCAGATGGCAACTTTATCCACTATGCCACAAGGTCAACCCCAGAAATTTTTTTAAAAAAGTTTAATTATTTGAAAAGCAGAGTGACAGAGAGAGAGAAAGGGGGAAAGAGAGAGCTATTCTATTCACTGATTCACTCCCCAAATGGCCATAATGTTTGGGGTTGGTCCAGGCCTAAGCCAGGAGTCTAGAAGTCCATCTGGTCTCCTCTCCTATGTGGGTGCAGGGGCCCAAGAACTTGGGCCATATTCTGCTGCCTTTGCAGGTGCATGAGCAGGAAGCTGGATTGGAAGTGGAGCAGCCGGGACTTGAACTGGTGCCTCTGAGATGTGAGGTTGGCTCACAGTAGCAGCTATACTGCTGCTCCACAATGCCAGTCCCCTTCATCTTTTTGATTGTCCAAAATACTTTATTCAAGATATGTAGACTAGCTGTACGGTCAGTTGTTTCATTTGCTAGTTTTCACCAAAGGTTTTAAAAGATATTTATTGATTGATTTGAAAGGCAGTTACAGAGAGAGAAAGAGATCCTCCATATGCTGGTTCACACCCCAGAATGGCTGCAGTGGCCAAGGCTGGGCAAGGCCAAAGCCAGGAGCCCCGAGTTTCTTCTGGGTCTCCCACGTGGGTGCAGGGCCCAAGGACTTGGGTCATCTTCCACTGCTTTCCTAGGCATATTATCAGGGAGCTGGATCAGAAGTAGAGCAGCTAGCACTCAAACCAGCGCCCATATAGGATGCTGGCACTGCAGGTGGTGGTTTAAACCGCTGTGCCACAGCACCAGCCCCTCACCAAAATAATCTGATTTTCCTGTCTTTGACCAGTAGGAGCTCCTTTAAATTGGCATCTGTGTCCCCTTGACTAAACCCCTTTTATCTTTAATAGATTTCTTGCTTTGGAAGACACTAAAATGTCCTCTGATTATCTTGAAATTTGTTGCCCAGACTTGAAATTTGTCATTTTTTCCCCAGTGAGATCAAGTTCAAAGAGATTTTTGAAGGAATAATTTTCACGTTGAGAAGCTGTTAAAGAGCAGTGCTGGACAGAAAGCAGCCGTGTAAAATGATAGGCATGTTGTTACCGTGTGTTTGGGGCTTTCAGCGCTGTGGGAATACCACTGATGTCTGAGATGTTTGGGTCAGGCATTTTGGAAGAGGTAAGGCTGGAACTGGGCAGTCACTGAAAGAAGATGAAAACTCAGAAGCCCTTAGTAGGGGAGAAATAAGGAGGAGGTGTGCAAGAACGTGCGTGGGAGAGTGAAGGAGGCTGTTCAGAACACAGAGCACCTTGACTTTCTTGTTGTAAACTCTTGTGTTTGGGATTGACTTGACAGTCATGGTTCAGAAAGGTTGATTTTTCGTCAGAGCTAAACACTGGTTTAGAGCAGGAGTTCTCCACCCCCCCCAGCTTAATGTTTTATTTATTATTTTTGAGATTATGATTTTTTTAAAGCAGGGATTCTTGGCTAGGGATTTGCAGCATATCTTTGAGAAATTAACAGACTCGTATCTGGGTCCTGTCTGAAAACTGTGGGAAGTCTAGGCTCATTTGCTTTTCAAAAGACCCACAGGGGATGCTGTTGTGTACACCTCTGCTAAAGGACTCTTGGATCAAAGACCAAAAACAGCTGTTCATTTATTACCAGTATTCTGGGCGTGTAGTAGTAAGGACATGGGACTGAAAAGAAGAGAGGGATAGAATAATGCAAATTTGGCCGGCGCCGCGGCTCAATAGGCTAATCCTCCGCCTAGCGGCGCCGGCACACCGGGTTCTAGTCCCGGTCGGGGCGCCGGATTCTGTCCCGGTTGCCCCTCTTCCAGGCCAGCCCTCTGCTGTGGCCAGGGAGTGCAGTGGAGGATGGCCCAGGTGCTTGGGCCCTGCACCCCATGGGAGACCAGGAAAAGCACCTGGCTCCTGGCTCCTGCCATCGAATCAGCGCGGTGCGCCGGCCGCAGCGCGCTGGCCGCGGCGGCCATTGGAGGGTGAACCAACGGCAAAGGAAGACCTTTCTCTCTGTCTCTCTCTCTCACTGTCCACTCTGCCTGTCAAAAAAAAAAAAAAAAAAAAAAGGATATGCAAATTTATATCTTAAAAGTTTTCATAGGATACTTTGCAAACAGTGTTACTACTAATTCAAGGATTCAAAGAGGGGAAACAAAGATGATGCCCATGATTTATGATTTGGGAGCTTGGGAGAATGGTGCTGATAGAAAGGGGAAGACTGGCATATTCTGCTATTTTAGGGGAAAAGATCATGGCGTTCTGGACATGATGAGTGTTGGGAGGCTAGCTATATGTCAAAGGGAACTCTGGGTGGTTGAAATATGTTTTATGTCTTGCTTTTTCTGAGTGCTTCATTCTTTTTTGCGAAAGCACTGAACTAGTGAGTTGTGAGTATGTCAGGCTTCATTGATTGGGAGCGTCAGTAGCCCCCAGTTTTCATTTGATTAATGTTATCACAAAATATTTGGTATATTAAATAATGTAAAAAGGGAAAACAGGCTGGAAAAACATTGCAACAAACAAAAATATTAGCATCAAAATACAATCATTTGAAACAAAAATCAGCAAACCAGGCAACAGCATTTTTAAAAAACGATTTGTTTATTTGTAAGGCGGAGTCCAAGAGAGGGGAGGAGAGAGTCAGAGAGAAGGATATCCTCCATCCGCTGGCTCACTCCCCAAATGACCGCAATGGCCAGGGCGGGGCCAGGCTGAAGCCAGGAGCCCAGAACTCCATCCAGGTCTCCTGTGCAGGTGGCAGGGGCCCAAGGACTTGAATCATCTGCTGCTTTCCCAAGCACATTAACAGGAAGCTGGATCAGAAGCAGAGAAGCTGGTACTCAAACTGACACTTAATAAGGGTTGCTGGCATTGCCGGCTGTGGCTTAACCTGCTGTGCCCCAACGCTGGCTCCCCAGGCAATAGAATTAAACACAGAATTCTCACAACTGGGGAACAACTGATCAATTCATTCCTTCAGGAAATATTGCCTGAGTTCCTGCATCATGTACTGCCTAAGTACTAGCAAACAAGACAGTGTCTGGTGATGTGAGGGATGAGTGGTAGACATGTTCTAAAACTTAAGACTTTCAAGTGGTGATACTGCATTAAGAAAGAAGAAGGGGACTGGCGCTGTGGCTCAGCAGGTTAAGCTGCTCTCTGTGATGCTGGCTTCTCACATTGGAGTGCCAGTTCCAGTCCCAGCTCCTTTGCTCTGGTCCAGCTTCTTGCTAATTTGCATGGGAAGGCAGCAGAGGGCCTGTGCCAACCACGTGCGAGGCCATGATGAAGTCCTGGTTCCTGGCTTCTGCCAGACCTAGCCCTGGCTGTTGCTGGAATTGAGGAGTAAACCAGTGGACGGAAGACCTCTTTCTCTGTCTTTCCCCCTCTCTCTGTCACTGTGCGTTTCAAATAAACCAATAAAAAAATGATAGGTGTAGAGTGAGATTTTGGTTTATTTATTTATTTTTGCCTTTTCTTGGGCAAAGCATTGGTAATATTGTACAGCTATAGGTTAGCATTACTAATCTTCACCGAATTACACAGGAAGAGATCAGTCAGATTTAGGTTCTTTTGGGTTCCCAGATAATTTAACTGAAAGACTTTTTAAAGCTTTTTCTGTTTGGCTCCTCCTGAAGGTGTTTATATAATGGGCATTGTTTAGATTTCTTCCTGACTAGAGAGATCATTTGTTTCTGGTGGAAATTACTTATGTGTGTTCTTTTCACAGAATAGTGTTGGTTTTGTTTTGTTGGGAGGGAAACCATTCCTCTGGAAAATGTGGCTTAATTCAGCAGTGAAATGCAGTGATTTGATTCTGCCGTGAGTCACTGGCATATCTGAGAGGGCTCAGGTCTTTGAACCTTCTCTGGGCATCCTGCAGGGTGTTGCAACTGCCAGCTATCTTCTGAGTTAAAGGAAATCGTTGCCCAGTTAGAGGAGCTTGCTAGAGCTTCTCTTTGTTCATTGCTGTTGGCTGTACACTGGTATCATGTAACTAAATGTTTCAGACTTTAATATAGAAAGTTTAGTGCATTTCTCTCTTTTTAATCATTAGGGATTTTTTAAAAGATTTTATTTATTTGTGTGAGAGGTAGAGTTACAGAGAGAGGGAAAGACAGAAAGAAAGGTCTTGCATCCATTGCTTCACTCCCCAAGTGGAAGCAGTGGCTGGAGCTGATCCTATGAAGCCAGGAGCTTCCTCCAGGTCTTCCACATGGGTGTAGGAGCCCAAGCACTTGGGCCATCTTCTGTTTTCCTAGTCCATAGCAGAGAGCTGGATCGGAAGAGGAGCAGCCAGGATTCACACTGGTGCTCATATGGAATGCTGGTGCTGCAGGCGGAGGCTCAGCCCCTACGCCACAGCGCCAGCCCCCTAGTACATTTCTTAAAAAAAAAAAAAAAAAAAAGGCAGGTGGTTTGCAGATGGAAAGTTACCTGTTTGAATAACTACAATATATAAACATGTTTTCATTTATTACTGAAGATTGATATGGTAACACAGAATAAAATAGATGCTTGTTATTTTATAGTTATATTTTCTATTAATAAGTTTAGGGACTTTTAGTTATGGGAAAGAGATAATGGGATTGGAAAACAATTGGCCTGTAATTCTTTTGATCATTGTAGTGTTGGGAATATACGGTTTGCAGGGGAGGACAGGGAGGAGGCTTTCTAGAAATGGAAACAGGAATGAACTAAGGTAGTAGCTGTTACGCTTAGGTTAGCCCATGTTTTAATTCTGAGTATCTTACATGGATTTTTTCTTTTTAAAGGAAACTTGAACATAACTTCAACAGAAACTTCGATTCTTTATTTCTGGACTGCATATTTATCTGCCGAGGCCGTCAGGATGTCGGGAGCCTCGGTGAAGGTGGCAGTGCGGGTGAGGCCCTTCAATTCTCGCGAGACCAGCAAGGAATCCAAGTGCATCATTCAGATGCAAGGCAACTCGACCAGTGAGTGCATCGTTATTATTATTGCTGTTGTTATCTTACCACCCGTGCTTCTCACCAGTTTCTCCTTCCCTTCTCTTCTTGCCGTGATGGATCTGAGTGAATATTTGTGTATTTGTGAATATTTGTGTAGCACTTTGAACTCTGCCACTCTGAATGACCCGCTGAGTGTCTTCCCCCCGGGTGTTTGCTGCAGTGTACTTAATTCTGGGTTCTTCGCTCTTTACAGTTGAGAAACTCTGAATAACTGAATTAATTTGGTGATAATGTGTGTTTAGTTGAAATACTAATGATAATAATGTTGTAAGCAGTGGTTTTTATTAAATCCTGATGTTGCCAGCATTGTGACTTCCCATCCACTTCCTTGCTAATGTACTTGAGAAGGCAGCAGATGATGGCTAAAGTACTTGGGCCCCTGCCACCCATGTACAAGACAAGGATGGAGTTTGTGGCTCCTGTCTTCAGCCTGCCCTGGCCCTGGCCTTTGTGACCATGTGGAAGTAGGTGGAAGCGATCTCTGTGTTCACCCTCACTCACTCTCTCTGTCTCTCTCTCTGCCCCTCCTCTCCCTTTCTGTCTTTGCCTTTCAGATAAATAAATAAATAACCTTTTTTTTTTAAATTTATTTATTTGAAAGTCAGAGTTACACAGAGAGAGAAAGAGAGAGAGAGGTCTTCATCCACTGGTTCACTCCCCAACTGGCCACAATGGCCAGGGCTATGCCAATCCAAAGCCAGGAGCCAGGAGCCTCTTCCGGGTCTCCCAAGTGGGTGCAGGGGCCCAACAGCCCAAAGTCCTTGGGCCATCCTCCACTGCTTTCCCAGGCCATCACAGAGAGCTGCATAGGAAGTGGAGCAGCGGGTCTCGAACCGGCACCCATATGGGATGCGGGCACTGCAGGTGGCGGCTTTACCTGCTGTGCCACAGTGCTGGCCCCAACCTGTGGGGAGCAACTCGGACTAGACTAAGTTACTGAAATTAAGACTTATTCTATGCATCTGCTCTCCCACAATATGGCGCTGGGAGAGGAGTAAATAACTTTTACACAGCTGCCTCCAGTTCGACCAATGACCTGCAGGAGCTGATCCTGCTCCTGATTGGAGAGCAGCGTGCTCGGCGTGTGGGTAGCAGAGTTGGGATTGGTGGAAGAGGACTATAAAGGAGGAGAGAGACAACATGCACCAGGAACATCTATCTGAAGGAACACCTGAGCAGCCCCCGAGAGAGCCGGCCGGTGGTGTGCCGCTCGCTCCCCCGCGGAAGTGGGGAAAGTGGCAGGGGGAACCGCCCTTCCACGGAGGTGGAAGGTCGGTAGCCAACCCAGGAAGGACCAGCAGCAAACCCAGGAAGGGCCGAGCAGACAAAAGAACAGCGCAGGGTCCTGTGTTGTTCCTCCACGAAGAAGGGGAGCGACACCAACCTATTTTTTTTTATAAAGGTCTTGACATAAAGTGTACTTATTAAGGCCCCAAGATTTGCTATTTTTCTTTCTGCATTTAAAAAAATTTGTTTATTTTTATTTCTTGCTGATGTGCAAGCTTCAGCAAGTGCTTAGGTTCCTGCCTACCGCCCATGTGGGAGATCCAGATGAAGTTCTTGGCCCTGACTTTGCCCTGGCCCAGCCTTGCATTTGGACAGTGAACCAGTGGACAGTGTCTCTGAAATCTTCAACTTTTTAAAAAAATATAGATTTATTTATTTATTTGAAAGACAGAGCAGATCTTCAGTCCACTTGTTCACTCCCCAAATTGCCTTAATGACTTGGACTGGGCCAGGCCAAAGCCAGGAGCTTGGAACTCTATCCAGGTCTTGCACGTGGGTGGCAGGGATCCAGGCACTTGGGCATCTTCCAGTGCCTTCGCAGACACGTTAACAGGGAACTGAATCAGAAGCGGAGCAGTAGGGACTCAAACCAGTGTTCCAACAGGAGATGTTGATGCCAACCCACTGTGCCACAATATCAACCTGTTAATCTAACTTTTCGATGAATCAGAATTGTTGTTGCTTTAGACAGGTTACTGCTGAAGTAACCATTTTGTCCTCATCTGCTTATGTGCCATTTGCCAATGTTCTTTATAGAGGAGTCTGCCGGAGGGAAATGTTTGTTTCAGAGAAAGTCGGCTGTATGTTTAGCCCACATTTCAGGGTAATTCGCAGATAGCTTTGAACTTTCTGTTGTTTGTGCTCTGCTCTGATTTTCATTGAGAGGGCTTATAACAATTTTTTTTTAATTTTTTTTCAAGATTAGAAAACAGGAGTCTAAACAGGCCAGTGATTTAGGAAATACTAAGAGATTATGCAGCACAGATATCTAGTATATGTGTAATAGTATGCTGAGTACTAAGAAGAGTGAAAAAGTAGTCCATCCATGATCCAGGAAGATAAGATTATTAGAATATGTGGTAAACTTAAAAGCCTTGCTGTAGTTCTGGGTTTCTATAATTTAGGGTAGTTATAAAGAGTAGACCTTGGACTGCTTGATTTCTTTTTTATTTTATTTATTTTTTTAATTATTTGTAAGGTAGAGTTAGAGACACAGAGAGGGAGAAACAGACAGAATGAGATCTTCCATCTGCTGGTTCACTCCCCCTGTGGCTGCAATGGTTGGGCTAAGCAGGTTAAAGCCAGGAGCCTGGAACTCCATCTGGGCCTCCTACTGAGATGGAAGAGGTCCAAGTCATTGGGCCATCATCCACTGCCTTAGTAGGAAGCTGAATCAGAGGCAGAGCAGCCAAGCCCTGGCTGTTGTGGCTATTTGGGGAGTGAACCAGTGGATGGAATGTTCTGGAAGATTTTCTTATTCTCTTGCTGTTTCCCCCTTTCTCTGTTACTCTGCCTCTCAAATAAATTTTTAAACAACAACAAAAAATGATGCTAAAAAATGATGGAATTCTTTTGGGAATAGGGTCACAAAAATGGAGTTTATGGAATGTACATTATCTCCTACAAAATCTCTAGAATGATTAAAAATGGATTTTTGGATGAAATAGCACAGAACTGCCTAGTTTTTATTAACAGTAATTTGGTTAGAATGGGCTTGTACTAGTGCCCTTAACACCAGTCTGTGGACCACTTAAAGCACAGTGCTGAATTACTAATGGTTTTACCTCCATATTTTATCCAAAACCTTTGAAAAGGACAGGCTGGGCAGCTGTGGTTGGCCCTGCTTGTCCTTTCTTTCCCCCTTGTTCTTTTGTGAGTCTGCCATATGTGAGTTTGTGAGATCACCATGGGACCCGGCCCTGAAGGAGTTTATAAGTTTGTGGTGGAGGAGACAAGCCATACTAAAATAACTTCCATCCATAGTAAAAGTGATCAAAGCAATAGTTGCACAAAAAGGACTTTTAAAGAAATGCAGATGTGAGTTTGGTGAAGGGCAAATGTAAGGATTCATCAGTGAGAAAGGATTTAAGCTGGACCTTGAGTGAGTATGATTTAGATTAGATATTCAGTAGACAAGAAGGCTTCAGAAAGCTCATGGAGGACACAAAAATATAAGAAAACTGTGCATAGACTTCAGCTTTTTTTTTTTGCACCAAAACAGACTTATTTTTAAATTTCATTTTCCGCAAACGTTTTGAAGTACCTTTACTTTTGGGAATGATTTCTGAGCTGGAGCTCATTAAAGCTTTTTAGTGGTGGTGCTGGGAGTGGATTATGACACTCCTCACACTCATCTGCTCTGACACGGTGCCTCCTTGCATGTGAAATTTCAGCTAAGTTAGCATTTGTCTACTGAAACAAAATTCCTCATTAGATGAATAAGCCTTGAAAAAATTAGGGTGCATTTTCTAGCTTAATACTTTGTTGTGGCTCCTGGGGTTTGGGATAATTTTGTTCCTTTTGAAGGTTGTTGTCTCAGAAAGCAACTAGCTGTAAGAGAACTATCATGTTTATTGTATGAGAAACTTTTCCTCTAGAAATTTTTCTACTTTCTGTTTTCAATTTTTATATGGCAGTTTCTTAGTAATTTGATATGTAATCCAAATAATTTTTAAGTGAGAGATTTTGAGACAGGCATTTGTATAGAAGATGCTATGTTTAGAAAGTATTCATGGCTTGTTTTAAAAAAAGCCATTGGGCTTAGATTGAGAGTACATGCATTGTGAACATAGCATAGTGGCAAAAAAAAAAAAAAAAAAAAAGAAAGAAAAGAAATGAAATGAATATGCCATAGCCACATGTGTTAGCTGCATTAAAAAGGCTGCTGTGCTGGCAAGCTGGCTGGGGCTGCTGCTCACGGGGGCTATAGCTGATTGCAGATGGAATGCAGTGGAATGTTCCTGCCATAAGGTCTCCTGTGAAAAAAGGGCAGGAGTTAAAGAGAACTTTCAGGAATGTGCCAGATCTGAAAACTGAGTGCTGGACATTTTATTTAAGTACTCTCTGGTCTTGGAGGAAATATTTTCCACAGCACAGATAAATGTTGCTACTTTGACATTTTGGAGTCCAAAGCACATACGAATGGCTTTGTTCAGTAATATCCCATTATATTCTGAGTTTCTTCTACTTTGGAAGATTTTTAAAAAAAGATTTATTTATTTGAAAGGCAGAGAGAGGAGACAGACACACAGGCAGACACACAGGACCTGCAGAGACAGAGTGAGAGAGCGCCTGTCTGCTGGTTTTCTCTCCAAATGCCCACAGTGGCTCCAGGCTGGGCTGGGCTGAAGCGGAGACCCTGGAACTCAACCCAGGTTTCCCATGTGGGTGGTAGGAGCCCAGTTACTGAGCTACTGCTGCTGCCCCCAGGTCTGCATTAGCAGGAAGTTGGAGTCAGGAGTGGGAGCCAGGACTGAAACCCAGGAATCTGATATGGGATGTAGTTGTTTTACCACCAGGCCAAACACCCATCCCTTTGGAAGCATGCTTTGTTGTCTGGTTATTTTGTAAAAAGGAAAAGTGGGGCAAAGTTAATGATCTTAATGTTCACATTTATGGTTAAGTTATGTGTGTAAATGTGGAATCATTCAACCTTCATAAATATCCTCTGAAAAACAGGA